GTATGTGTTGTTTGGTATACGAATAATTATTGTGTATAATTTTTTTGCCTTCCTTTAAAACATTAACACCATTTTACACCTATACACTTTGCAATAAGTACTAAAAATATATAGGTAATACCTACATGCATTAATAAAATAATCAAAGATAACAGTTCAATAATAGGTAAACAGTTTTCTAGAGATAATAAAATATCGTTTTTTTTGTGGTGAAAAATATACATTCGGACTTCTTATCCGACTTTCAAAATGCCATCTGGAAATATTTTTTAAAAACAGCCTCGTTTGAGTCGTTAGCTCATTAATGAATAAAATGTGAAATAATTACTCCTTAATAATATGTGATTCTGGCAGCACAACTAACACCATTAATAATCGTATATTGTATACAAGTATTGTTAGTGTTGGCATTACTGAGAGGCGGTTTTTTTAGGGGCGGCGATTTGTCCGGCGGCGTTTTGTCGGGCGACCTTTTGTCGTGTTTCCGAATTAGGGACACAATACATTTCTCCTGAGCCATGTGTTACTTGCGCTACCAATAATACTATTAAACACATATTGCTGGAGTTTCGCCAATATGACGAAACAAGAGAGGAATTGAAAACGCCGATTACCCTACAAGAAACACTAGGAAACCAATCTCACTATGTACCAGAAACAATCATTTTAAAACTAAACAACTGTATGACAAAATGTAAACAATATTATTTATATATACTATAGTTCTAACTAAACCATGTAAATAAGAACATTGAACATTTATGGCTAATGACCTTTGAAGTCGAAGCCTATATTATAATAAAAAATACATTTCTAGTGGGAATAACTAAATAAAAAGTTGGCCCAACTAAACACTTATTTAGCCCAACTAAATGTACAGTTGCCTTAAAGGATCGGTCAAACAGAAAGCGGACTGTCTGTGCGGACAGGGTCCGTCCAACTAGTCCGCCAGTCCGCTGCGGACTAGGATAGTCAAACAGAATGCGGACAAGTTTGAGCGAACCAGTGTGAAAACTGCCACAACCAAGAGTGTACTGCTGGTTGTTCTTTTAATTTTTACTTTTTTACCTCACGTTTTCTGTTTTTATTTTCTTTTACAAAACGCTAGATTCTTCTGCTTGCCTTGAGTTAAGCAAGATGAAAAAAAAGAAAATGGGTTCATGATTAAAATGAAAAAACATTTTAAATTAAGTACAATATGTTGTCAACAATATTGTTTGTATATATTATGTTCGATAATTACATAATAATAATATTCAGAAATGCTGATACGTGTGGAAAATCCAGTGTATTGTCTATTTAAAATATTTTTTATTTTACAAAATTATTCCAGTCCGCCGCGAACTTTGTGAAAAAATACAACCATCCGTTTGTCCGCGGCAGACTATTCTAGTCCGCCGCGGTAGGCCGCTGTCTGTTTAATCAGAATGATGCATTTAAATAGAGTACAGAGTCCGCGGCGGACCGGCGACCTGTCCGCGCGGACAGTCCGCTTTCTGTTTGACCGATCCTTAAATGGTGAAAAACTTCTTTCAGCACTTGTTTTTAGTTATGAAATCAAATAATCAATAAAAGAAAAAAAATAGTTATCCTACACTGAAAAAAATACATAGTTGGTTAAACTAAAATTTTGGTTAATATAGGGAAACAATACATTTTCTAGTTGAAATAGGTAACTATATAAATACGTGGGCCAACTAAATTATTAGTTAAGGATCGGTCAAACAGAAAGCGGACTGTCCGCGCGGACAGGTCGCCGGTCCGCCGCGGACTCTGTACTCTATTTAAATGCATCATTCTGGTTAAACAGACAGCGGCCTACCACGGCGGACTATACTAGTCCGCCGCGGACAAACGGATGGTTGTATTTTTTCACAAAGTTCGCGGCGGACTGGAATAATTTTGTAAAATAAAAAATATTTTAAATAGACAATACACTGGATTTTCCACACGTATCAGCATTTCTGAATATTATTATTATGTAATTATCGAACATAATATATACAAACAATATTGTTGACAACATATTGTACTTAATTTTAAAATTTTTTTCATTTTAAAATTGTGCACTGAAAATGATCGATGAAACGGAATGATTGATTGATCTAGTTGGAGAATGCGTTTATTTGTATGATACGCGGCATCCACTGAAAAATGGACAGATTCGGCAATAGACTGGTATCAACACTTCACAAAAATGTAAAATTTAATAACAATTTTTAGCCGAGTCTGCAACCACGAAAGAGCATTTTCATGTTTCGTTGAAGTACCAAATTAATTTAAAGTAGTGGTGGAATTATAGATAATCATAGAAAGATATAGTATGATATATAGAATGATATAGTATATTAACAAGCAGTAACAAGCTAATATTCTAAGATGGCTAGTATATTAAAACATCTATTTCTGGCTAATATTTTAGTGTTTAAAATCTGGCTTAAAACAATTCATAAAAATATGACCTCTTAAATTATTGAATTAAATTTAGTTCAGTTCTAGTTTGAACGTTGAGAATACAGCATAGTCGGTGAAACTCCCCGTATTATTTTCTTTTTTGATTTAGTTCATGTACCCATTTTCTTTTTTTTCGTCTTGCTTGACTCAAGGCAAGCAGAAGAAGCAATTCTTCTTTGTCAGAAGAACTGCTAGAGATTTTGTAAAATAAAATGAAAACAGAAAACGTGAGATAAAAAAGTGAAAAATAAAAAACAACCAGCAGTACACTCTTGATTGTGGCAATTTTCACACTAGTTCGATCAAACTTGTCCGCATTCTGTTTGACTATCCTAGTCCGCAGCGGACCAGCGGACTAGTTGGACGGACATGTCCGCGCGGACAGTCCGCTTTTTGTTTGACTAATCTTAAGGCGTTCAAAAAATCATATGTAGTCAACCATAGGTTAAGAGCGCTTTATTAGTTAAGCAGTTTTATTTAATATTCATAATTAAATTCCTGTACATATTTGCAAGAACATTAATATAAGACGATGAAGTTGGATGATTCGTCGAAATAATATGCTATTTAACTATTATATGATATCTTATTTACTAACTATTTAAACTGTACCTATTTTATGCGTTTAAGGCCCGGTTTTTCAATTGAAATATTAACTGCCAGTTAGCTAATCACCAGTTACTTTAATCCGCCGATTAAAACGCTGGTTAAATACTACGCTGTTTATCAATCGAAAGTCGATGTCTCGGTTAATTAACTGGAGGTTAGTCACGAATTAAATATATTTTATAAGTGGTCATACTGCAAAAAGCATGTTGTCTTGTAATAATTGTTTATCAGTGATTTTTTATTTATCAATTAACATCTGTTATACCGGACAAACAACAGTTATGAACATTTTTCATAGTTATTTTTTTTTTTTTTACTCATTGTTAAAGCGTACTTTAAAATCATAATTGTCCTATTTATTAAAATGATCAACCGTTTCACGGACAACATACAGTCTACGTTAATAATTTAAAATATTCCAAATATTCTTCATCATCGTCATAGAACATTTCATTTTTAAAATTAGTTTTAAATTAAAAAAACTGATAACTTTTCAAGCTATTTTATTATAAAAAATAATTGCACGAAAGATTATAACCGTTAATTAATCTACTGACTGATAGAAATAGTAGCAGTTAATTTAACTGAGAGTTAAAACTGTCGGTTTGCTTAACTGTAACTTCATAAACAGTTTAACTGGAAGATAACGTTAACCAACAGTTAAGTCATACTAACTGTCAGTTAAATGCAATTGAAAAACCGGGCCTAAGAGTACAGTTAATTTTTATGGTAATGTATTTTATATTACATTAGAATATGTTTTTTTACTGTGTACATTTTAACTCTTGCTTATATTTATGTATTTAAACTTCGTAATTGTCTTCTAGCCCCCTCTATTTCATTCCTAGATCCACCCTTGTATATATACAGTAAAATATATAGTAACAGTAAAATTGATTTCCCCTCACGCTGCCATTTTATTTTCTAAGATAACGGATTCGAGACGATGTGCAATAACCTGTATACTTCAACCATGAGCTATAATACAGGGTGATCATTTTATCGTAAATCATTTAATATTTCATAGGATTTTAATAAGAATTAAAATTTTTTTTTACAATGCAATCTTTTGTTTTTACCCCTTCCAACTTATTTTTTTTGATAACGGCTTTTGACGAAAGTGGTAATGCATGTATTTCATTAGCTTTATAAATTGAGAATAATGTACAAACAATTCTGACAGCTAGTTTCAGTCTTGAATAATTATTTTTGAAATTAATGAAGTTTTAAGTTTAGGGCAGGAAGAAAGGAGTGAAGTACTATTTTTATCTCCACGCACTTCCCACCCTAACTTTTAAACTCTTATCGATGTTGCTTACATGTTCGCATCGGAGCGTTTATTTGAAAGTGATTTTATTACTTTCAGTTATAATAATTCCTGTAGACCTGTGGCCTAACCTGATTCTAATAAGCTCCGTTACCACTATGCCCCGACCTCGGAAAAAATGTGTTATTTTAAACATTTATTATGAATAAAGCCAATTTATTAAAACTGTCTACGCGATTTTATATTGTATTTCTGTTGAAAAGCAATTACTGTAATCTCTTTAACTTTTTCGTCGTGTTTCTTTACATCTTAAAAATGCAATATTCGACTCAATAACACCGACTTTTAATAATCTAATTATTTGATAATACAAATATTTAGTTTTTTTTTTATTTATTTATTTAGCGTTTGGCACATTTTATTGACCGAACTTAGGCCCTATTCGAGCCTAAGTTCGGTCGCCAATTGAATTAAGTCATTGTAAATACGTTGACTATTGTAATTATTTCAAACATTTATACTTAACAATGTTAAACAAAATAATTATAAGTTTAATGTAGATACAAGACAATAACGAAGGTCAAAATCTTTTATTTATTGAATTTTTAATTTTAATATAAACTCACCCCAATTCCTTGTCTTGACATGTTTCGTTTCATTTGTAAAAAACGGCCAGACGGATTTCTACTGAAAAATAAATAAGTTAATTTCAATAAGATTAAGTAAATTCGTAGGAAACCTACAACATTGGGAATGGTATGGTGGTTAGTGGTTACTGGCATGTAATGTATTTTTCTTTGATTAAAGTAAAAGTATTACTCCCGAAAAACAATTTTGTAAAAATTCATGTCCATGGAAATCATTACAAAACTAATATTGTCATTATATTATTATTGCATAAAATAATGTATTATATTTGTCGTCATTTATTATTGGTCAGTTTCATTTGTAATTAAAAGCCGTCTAGTATTAATTATAAATATATATACAGAGTGGGGCAGAGCTGACTGACGAGTTTTGAGGGGCTATAAATAACGATTATACATATAGTTAATACTAGACGGCTTTTATAATTACAAAAGAAACTGTATAATAATAAATGACGACAAATAAAAAAGTAACATAAATACAAATAATTTAGAGAAAAAATGAGTAGGTCAAGTAGGTCATCAGTAGCATCATCCTGGATAGCGGTGCATTTCTAGAAAAGCTACTAGGTATTTGAGTACAAAGCTGTTGTAATAGCCACGGAGCGTCAATTCAGCCACCAGTCAGACCCCAAATAAAACGTTTGGCGAAAATCTAACGACTTTGCTTCAATGACTCAAGCATTAAGACATGATTGACGGTCACGAAGTCATGGGCCGGGTGCGAAATATTTAAACAGTAGCTGGCAAGACTTAAGAACCTATTCTGAACCAAATTAAGTCTCTTAATATTGCTTACAGTGTAATGTGACCAGATAACGGAACTATGTTCTAGGACTAATCGGACCAAGGCCATATAAAGAACAGAACGACAATCAGGAGAATTCAAATCCGACGAGTGTCGTTTAATAAAACCAAGAATACGTAAAACTTTAGAGATAATGAAATCGTACATAACACGTGCAATAGATTACCCGTTGAGGCAATACTCATACCTAACTCGAGTACGATGGAAAGTCATAATTTTGCACGTAATTAAGAAATAACCCGACAGCACAACACCACTTAACGAATTTATCAAAAAAATTTAGAGGTTTAGACTTGGGATGATATATTTTATTTTATTTATTTATTTAACGCCAATCGGCAATTCAAAGAAATACAATAACAAGTTAAGCACAAAAAAAAATTACAATAATAATAGTGATTAAGGTGATCTTACAGAAAAATTATAAACATTAAATGCTATTGCACAATACGACTAAAAACTAAATAGCTTATGTTAATATATAATAATTCAGAATAACATGTACGGATCTAGGAGTTATTGAGTAGACGGAGCATTCTATGCAAAGGATGGTTATGAAAGTAGTTGGTACTGTGAGAGGGGACTAGGTAAAGAGAGTGATTTCTAGTATAATGCACGGGGACGCGGAAAGAGATAGAAGAGAGAAGGTCAGGGGCATCCACTGAGCCATTAAGAAGAGAGGTGATAAATGAAAGGTCAATATCTACACGGCGAGAAGTAAGACTAGGGTAATTTAAGGAAGATCTAATGGGCGAATAGTCATGGGGCGGGTGATCAATCTTAAGCAGAAAAGCAACGTAGGACAGGAATCGGTTTTGTACTCGCTCCAAACGTAGTTGTCTTTAGCCAAATACGGGTGCCATATTACTGTTCCATATTCCAGGATAGAATGTGGAACAGTTATATAGAATAACAAATTTTGGCATCGTCGGTAAAGAGCAGTATTCAAACGAAAAAACTGCTGAGTGCCTAGATGACTTCCTTGCGGCACACCAGAAGAAACACGAAATTTATCGAGCGATCCGGGAAGAACCCATGTTGATTGACTAAAATAGTCGACAGTAGAGATCAGTCAATGTTTTCAAGAAAGATTGTCTCAAATATTTTTCCTAAACCGGACAGATCACAAATGGGCCGGTATTTCTTGACATTGGTTGGTATAGTATTTTCTAAAGAATTTTTGCACTACTGTCCTGTGTAATTTTTGATAAAATCAAATTATTTTAGTTTATTTTACATTTTATGCTAATTTTATGTAATGCTTATTAAGTTATTTTGGCCATGCTTCGAATTATTTGATTCCTATGTGTGTTATGTTTGTTGTAACGTTTTAAACTTATAAGCAAAAATATTTATTTGAAACCTACATATATCGGCAATGATTACTAAAATAATTTTTTAAATACAATTAAAGCGAAAGAAGAGTATAAGGTTAATTGTATCATTATGTATGTACATACACTTTGAAGATGGTAAGATTTAAACACTCTTTTGTTAAATTGAATTTTTAAATTTGAGTAGTTACCATATAAATAGGTGTGACAGTGATTTAGTGACTTATTGTTCACATTTCGATTGCTTGGAAAAAGGCAAAACTGTAAAAATGATCAAACTGACAGAGAGAAACATCAAAGCAGGAGTTCAAAAGGGGATAGTAGGAATCTTTGATGAAATTTCCTTTTTATTTCTCGAATTCAACAAGCCACCATTGCCGATACAACCTGGACGAACCTCCTGGAAGCATGACCAAATCAGGTGTCGAGTACAAATGACTTAGCTCCTGACAAGACCTAACATGATTTAGTCAGACGACACGTCTATACATAGCCTGATACAGCACGTCATATCTGACTAAATTATCTTTTTGGGCCGACCAGATTGTAACGTCTGTTGTACCCTTACCGTGTGTCGATCTCTATAATCGACGACAAGGACACCTCTTGTCAGCAATAAATCCGATTACAATCGATCGCCGTATTCATTTCCATCAGTAAAACTAAGACGGAATATTTTGGCATACAAATTGAGATATAGTTAAAATACTATAATAAGTCATGAGGCTATATTTTTGTACATAGTGTTTTATTTATTGGCTGGTGTAGTGAAATAGTCATGTAGCTGGATCAATAGAGTTATCAATTCGATTCCCAGTATATTGCAACCTTTCTCACGGTATAGCATATTTTAAGACGACAAGGGCTGTTATCTGATTACACCAAATTATTTTTCCCACAGGGACCCACTCCCCAGAATTATTGAAGTGACAGCGATAAAGCAATAGAGTCGTCGTAATAAAAACAGTCCTACAAAATTCGAAGGCAATAAAAAACACAAGTTTGATCCGAACTAAGACATTTAAATCAATAATAATTAAAACGTTGAAAATACATTGGCTGGTACCATCTAATTAGGGAATTCATCTAGAGAAATTCATAAATGCATAATTTAAAAAGACTATCACAGGGAGAAAAATCGGCCATGTAGCAAAATAGTAAGATCATAATTAAGTACGATTAATATACATAATACAATTTCAAGGATACATTAAAAATGTTCAAACAATTTACTTTAAGGCCCGTTTACATTAGGCGGCGAACGCGAACGAATGCGAATGAATGCTACCGAACGAATTCGTACGCGAATTCGGTAGAGATTCGGCCGCACCGTGCAGACTACTCGTTCGTGTTCATTCCCCGATGTTCACAAGCGTTCACCAGCCTTCGCTCAGATTCAGGGCGCGGGTAAACATATTTTAATTTTTTATGCCGTTCGCACTGAATATCATTTTTTTTTATCTTACCACTACCGGAGCGAACCGCCGCGAAGGCGAACGAATGGCACGAAAGGACGTTCGTTCGCATTCGGCTCACCGTTTACACTTGCATTTTGATGTGCCGAATTCGAGTCCGTTCGCATTCGCGGCCTAATGTAAACGGGTCTTTATAGAGCTCTAGATACACTATCATCTTAACATAACCAATACATTTAAATACAATTATATGATAGAATACCAATACTCTCTCAGCTTTGTATCAATTGCAGGTACACATTACAAGAAAATATATAGGTCAAAGTATACTATTCCTTTAGTGTTTTATATACAACTAGTTACATGTCAATAAGTTAAGTTAATAATTTATTACCGACATAATCACATGTCTTGAAAAATGTTGAGTTTCCGTTTAATTATAAGAAACCTAATTTGAACTATAGATTACGCTTAAAATGAAAACATGTCCGTGGAACAACTACCTCATTATAGCATCATCGTTTTTTAATTATATTATGCATTACTAACCTGTCGAATGACCTCGGTTCGATTTTTTTTTTTGACCCGTCAACGCAACAACCAGGTGGTAGGTACTCGACCGATGGGTCGATATTGTTAGACGGCCTTAAAATCTAAATAAAACGTCAGAATTCATATTCGCAAGTAAGTAATGTCGGCGGGTGTATTGCGAACAACGGTGGTCGTACACGCAAAGATCTAAAACATGGTTGCTACGTCGTATACAACGGCCGTTCGCGGCCAAAGGGCAGACCGCAGGTGGGCTGGCGGAGACGGCAGAATCAATAAAATCCAACTCCTGTCGAAGATGTTAGCGAAAACGCCGCGGTCGACGACAACGAAACGTTTACCGTAACAATATCGAGAATACAAACGTACCTATCGGTTTTTAAGAAACTACACAAAACACAACACTCGACACTCGCACACTATACAGGTAGGCGGATGGCGCCCACAAAATGGAGTACTTCTGACGACTGACGCGTAAACAACGAACCCAAAGACGACGTTCGACCGCGGTATACCTACTGTCTGGCTACGCGACCGCCGACGTGTAGCTACGGAACAATGCGTAGAGCGAGTATAGAGTGCGCGCTAGTGCCATCACAGTGCTACCGCTGGTCAACAGCTGCTGCATACGACGACGCATAATAATATTCCAACGTCATTTAAACCTAGAGGGCGCTAAAATATAACCGCTATTCGCTTTTGTAAACGGAAAATCGCTATATGACGTCATAACGGGTAAATACATATATTTTGTACACTACGAAGACGTGCAGTCTATACATTTCTGCCGCCGCCCGTACCTAATTTGAATCGCCCAATCTGGCAACATGGGACAACGCGTGGCGCAATCAAAAGGACTAAACGACGAGGAATTACGATCCCAAATTCCTTTGCCCGTTTCAAATGCGCTTTGACACTCCGATTGTATGTAATT